GTCATCACAATGTGAACAAGTCTGTCCCTGCAACCGCACACACACTCACACACACACACACACACACACTCACACTCACACTCACACAAAACCTGTAGACTACAACCTGCCTGTCATTAAAACATGGAAACTGACCCGCATTTAAATACGTACAAACACCGGAGAGCCGCAGACAAGACAAAAAAGACCAAAGTGATAAGTTACTTATTTATTATCTGATCAATAAATTATCATCTGATATATTTAAAGGACCAGTGCAACCGACCGAATAACACTCAGCCTCCAAGCATGCAGGAGAAACTGCGGTGTGTGAAAGGCCCTATCCAGAGCCAGTGTTCAACATGGCGGACTCCACCAGAAGAGGACCCGCCAATAGATCCGCCGAAATCAGAATCAGAATCAGAAATACTTTAATAATCCCCGTGGGGAAATTACTTAAATGAAATGTTACATACTGGACCTTTAAGTTCCACTGGTGAACTGAATTGAGGATTTAGAGACAAATAACTACTAACGGTTATACACAGACAGTTTGTATCAATCTTTATGTCTTAATTAATCCTAAAAAAATCACAGTTTCCTAAAAACGCCAAAAGTGACTTGTTTTTACACCCAAAACCCCCCAGCTCTGACGTCATTTTTATTAAGGTTGAGTTCAAGTTCCTGTTCTGTAGCACTACAGAGATAAGGAAGGCTTAAAAGCACTTTTCTCTCAGTTCATCTGTATCAGAAAATCCAAATCAGTCCATCCTTTGTCATCAACATCCCTCTCATCAGAGCTGCAATGATTAGTCGCCAACTATTTTGATAATCGACTAATCGCTTTGAGTCATTTTTATTAAGAAAAGATGTAAAAATTCTCTGATTTCAGCCTCTCAAATGTGAATATATTTTGGTTTCTTTAGTCCTCTATAACTGAATATCTGGATTGTGGACAAAAAAAAAGACATTTGAGGACATCATATTGGAAACAGTGGCCAACATTTTTCACCATTTTCTGACATTTTGTGGACAACTGATCGATTAATCCAGACAATGATCTAGAGACTGACCCATAATGACAATAATGGGCTGCAGCATTAGAGCCCTGTGAAATATGAGACAGTTTGTGTGTGTGGAGCTCAGGGAGGACGTTACACTCATCAAACTGCACTGAAGTGGGTTTTTATCTGCTCCTGTCTCTGCAACTGTCTGTCCCTGTCATTCATCCCCTGTAGCTGCAGCTTTACACGCTGTTATCATCTTTTTACAGACAGATACAGGCCGTCAGATCCTGAAAATGAAGGCAAAAGTGAACACACCCACCTTCCTCCCCTTCCTCCCCCTCTCCTCCCTCCCTCCCTCCTGTGGATAATTAGCAAATTAATGATGACGCCTGGAAATCTCCAATAATCAAAATGTCTGCTGTTCCTGGTTGGATGCAACAGGATCCTCCCTGCCTTCAATGTTTAATGTGTGAAACACTGATTTTAATCACAAATCAGATGAAATATTGCTTCATGTTACCTTCATGTCTCCTATGACAGTCTGGAAGAGCCCCCCCAGCGCGCTGCACTCCCTCTCCATCACTGTCTCCATCTTCAGCGGTGCGAACGGAAATGACAAACACTCTCACTCGGAGCTTCTGTGGTCCATAAATGAGGCGCCAGCAAACAAATGAATGAAAGGGGGAATAAACGCGGACCGGTGGAGATAAAAACGCTCAGACTCTGAGACGCGCTGCAGGTTTTCCCCGGCTGAAGGAGACCAGAACACGGACAGAAGCAGCAGCAGAGCCCGCGGTTATAAATCCCATGTCTGCAGGAGGAGACGCATGTTGGAGCAGAGAGGACCGACTGACAGCAGGGAACAGCACGACGCCGCCGGAGAGACTCAACTTTCCACAGAGCGCTGCTCCACTGACTGCTGGAGGAGACGCGGCCCGGGAGCGCGCCTGAAGGGACGGGGGCGCGCGTCCGCTTGGCCCCGCCTTCAGCTGAGGAAGCTTTCTGTTAGTGAGGCTGGAGGATGGAGGCAGGGTGCTGGCTTCGGTTTTACTGCTCTGTGGTTGTTTTCTGTCTGCAGGGCCAGAGACAGCAGATCCAAATGAGCTGCTAACTCTGCTGCAATGACTGCTATTAATGTGCTGGTCCTGTAAGAATAAACAAATAAAATAAGTAGTGTAGGTTGAAATAAAAATAAAGTTATGGATATAACAATAGCAGCAATCTAGAAGACAAGTCGTAAAAATAAGATTCACTCATACTAATAAAAAACTGAAAAATAATAATAACTATATAAAAATATAATATCAGTAAGAGTAGAAATCTACAAGACCATTTATGAAAACAAGGGAGAGTTTTAAAAAACGCACTTATGACCATATATGTCTTAAAATAAATAAAATGTTAGAAAATTTGAAAAATAAAACAAGAATACATATTTAATTTCCCCCTGTTTGATCCCCCATAGGAGACATTTAAATTTGGCACAGCAGTACAGGGGAGCAGAGAATACAAGAAAATATAATAAAATAAAAATATTATAAGCAAAAATCTAGAATATTTCATTTAAGTTAGGATTTTTATTTTAGGATATTTTATATTTTTATATTTTCATAAGATAAAATGGAAGAAAATATATATTTATTTATACCTGCAGGTATTAGCTGAATGATTCCTAACAGTCCTCGCACCCCAGTTTTAAAACCACTGTTGGACATTAAAGAGCTTTACAAAGTCATTTTATATCATTACCTCACAAGTTCTGACTGTTGATCGCCAAGATATTTAAAACAACATCGCCACCTAGTGAGTATTTCACTGAATTTCACTGTATTTTACTTAAGTAAGTACCAATACCACTGTGTAAAAATAAGCCTTTACAAGTGAACGTCCTGCATTTAAAATTCTAAGTAAAAGTTACATTATTATATATTTAGCTACATTATTAATACTGATGCATCAATGATAAACAGCATTTTTCTTTTTTACTGGTTTTATATGCAGCTTTATTCCAGTGGCTCCCAATAGGGGTCAGTCGGGCCCCTCCAAAGGGTTACAAGATACATCTGAGTCATGATGAGGCAGAAAGAAGAAAAAAACAGTTAAGTTATGCCGCATAAAGTCATAGTCATTAGGGACTTGGCTTGGGAACCGGATGGCCTTGAGCAAGGCACCCAACCCCTAACTGTGCCTCTACGTGGCAGCCCATCAGTCCACCATC